GCTCAGCAAAACGACATTTTGGTAACTGAGTGAATCTACCAGCGTTTGTTAGTCGTCAATCTATTCCTTTATCCCCGAGAAAGTTAGGGTTTACCGTTTTAAATTGGCGCTTACCCAGAAATGTGTCACCGACTGTACTTTGGTCTTTAAAATGCTCTAAATTCATTAGGAAGTTATTGACTGGGTCAGTATTCGCAGGGACGGTTAAGAAGGCCGCAATTGACTGATCTATAGCTTTATTTCTGATAAAGGCATTTCGGTGAAGAAAGACAAAAGTAGCAAATGTGCCACACTTTACGTCTAGAGAAGGGGAGAAAAATCATAGTTTTAACGTTGGATTACACCTTGATTTATTTTAGCTCACAGATTTAGAGCCAAACCTTAGAGGAGGTAAGTTCCGCGACACACTGCATTTAACGGCTGATAAATTATATTCTTTCCTGTTGCTCTGTTGTTCACAATGAAAACAAGCACGAAGCAAGACCCGAGCAAGTATTACAATTATTTTATTTTATTTATGCTAGCTTTGCTCATGAAAACAAGTGCAGAAAGTCTCACGGGATATTTTATTTGTTCTTTCATAATGCTTCCTCTAACTCCCACAAACACAAGTTGACTGGCTTGCTGTGTGCCCCTCCCACCCCCACCCCCCATTGCAGTAGCAGCATTCAGTACATTTTTCAGAGCAATCTAGTTGACATTTCTGCCATTATTGCCTCGGTCAGTTTGACCCTTTGAATTTCGTTTTCAGTGGGAGACTCTCCTTTCCCATATTGGTTTCAAGGAGAATGCCTTGGAGCAGGAAATTTTGGCAAGGTACTTTATATCCTTTTAATAACCTGGAACAGGCTAAACCATGGTTCCGGCTAATGAAACAAAGATCAATGAAAATAATTGGCTCATCTTTTATTGGATTAAAATTTCGTCATGCTTAACCTTACGACGTGTATTATAAAGAATTGCTCATTACTGCAAAAATTTAACCTTCACTTCAAACCTAAAAATCCCTCATGGTTCTTCATTTGTTTCAACTTTTAGAAAATGCATTATTTATATAGGGGGTTTATCTTCAAAGCCTCCGAACGAAAACGTTTTAACACGAGGAGGTCAATTGAGATATACTGATAACTTCAGACCACATAGCTCAATAAGTCTCATTTATACTAAGATCTGTTTCAAAACTTATCGTCTGTTAGATTTTTAACTAATTATTTCAACGAAATTAATGTGGCTTTTGTTGTTACGTTTAGTTCTGAATAATTGTAATGCTCTTACTCTATACACGATTGAAACTGTAAGTTGATACTTGGCAACTGTAAATTCCTTCGCTATCCAACTTGTTTTTCGGAAGATTTCCCAGGTTTGAAATTCCATAAGGACAACTGAATTCTAATAACAGTCATCTGAAGGATATTCACTTACATTTCGTTTTTGTTTTAAATGTTCGTTGCACAATATCTTGCAGGTGTACAAGTCTCATTTTTCGGATAATAAAATAAAAGCAGTGAAAATAGTTAAAATGGAGCCTCAATACACCGAAACGCAAGAGGTTAGACTTGTAATAGTTATGTGAATCAAAGAAGCAAGCTTACTCTCTGCACGTCCAGGTCCAAGCCTATTGAAGTAATCAGATGTTAAGGAGACAAGAGTATTTTAGCAAACCTTAAAAGTGTTACAGTGTATATAGTACGGCCAAAAGTGTTTCCTTGGAGGAAAGCAAAAGGAGACTGTGACATCATATCACTTGGTAATTACGTTCTGATATCCAAACAATCGTCCTGATGTCCTCGATTCGCAGGGTTTTTTTTTTTTTTTTTTTTTTTCGCATTGGTGGGTTTCTTGATTTTCTCATGATGTCAGAAAACCACCAAAATGACTCAAGACTGATCAAGATCAACGAAATGCCAAAAAGTCCAAACAGTGTAGGCATACCTGCATAAAAGATATATTTTACTGAATAAAACAAGAACCAATATCAAATTTGTAAAACCATGACTGTCAAATACGGTCGCCATGACGAAAAGTTTTGAGTACAATGACACGTCACCAAAATGTTGCCAAATAAATTCCTGATACAATTTCAATTTTCAAAAAGTCATAAAGGGTTGTAATGGGCACTTTCCGTACCCACCCACCCTCATACTTCTTGCACAATTTACTCACTTCAACTTCTATGAGTTGACAGTTGATGAGACCGAATCGGTCTTTTTAGGTGTCAATCTTCGTCAGTTAGTTCTCCTTCTACAATTTCCTTGTTAAATTTGGAGGAAAACCAGCCGTCACATTTTTCCTGATATTCTGAAATGCTGATCCAATAAGTTATCTATAACACATTGTTCGTAATGGAAACCAGATTTCTTCTCTATGTCCACCTAGGCGTGTACAAGTGATTTAACAAGTGAAATTGCAGTTGACTCAACACGATAGCTTTTTTAGAATTATTTGTTTATTCTTTTAGGAGGTGAAAGCTCTAAACAACGAAATACGCATTTTGAAGAATCTTAGACACGTACGAATCGTGTCATATTATGGAAGTGAACAAAGAGATTGTTATCTTCATTTGTTAATGGAATTCATGGCTGGGGTAAGAACTTACATGTGGTGTGGCTGTCGGGTTCCTCAATCGAAGTGCAGTAGCCAGAACTACTTCAGTACTGTGTTTACCTGTTTGTTTGTTCTTGAAATTTTTCATAAGGGAATCGTATTAGTGTTTACAATAAAACATATTAATCTTCAAACATATAGTTCTACATATTAATATCAAATATCTAATTATAACTACAGGCTGAAATTTTACTACCTTTAACACTAAAAGATATAGTTTTCAAACGAATACAAAACGTCTAGGTAAAGTGCCTAATTATACGGAAAAAGTTTGTCTTTGTCAGTAAGGTCAGCTTTTACTTCAAGCCAACTCGGGAAACAGAACTTGGGGTGTAGGGTGATGCTGGTGAAGGTTCACCCGTTTTAAAGGCGACTCAAAGGAGGGTAACACTCCTGCTGGAGATAACTTTCCTCCATGTAAACAGACCATTTTAATAAGATAGTTTATTCTCCTGCTATTACCTTTTTTGTTTCAGTAAGTAGCAATACATTGGAGATGCTTCGAGTCTTGTAATGACCAAGAGAATATGGTCATAATCTCTTGTAATGACTCATTCGAAATCTTTATAAATAGACACTGCAAGGGCTTTTCTGTGCCCAATTATTGTTAAACAAGTTGTAGTCAGCTTCATGGTAAACTAGGTTACCATAGGAACAATACGACTTGTTAAAAACATATATTTTTAGCTTTGACCGCTTATAATTCATTACTTTGAAACGTTCAAAAAACGTTCACAGCCACTTTAAATTTTCGAAAATTTGAAATTGTTGAGTCTATTGATAACTACTGAAAAGTGGAGGAAAAGGTGGTTGTTGTTCATCGTGGTAGATGCAGTAATAAACAGTAGTACCTTTTGTCTCAAGATATAGTCACTCGCGATGTAGATCGAGACGTTTCGACTGCTTACTGCAATTCTTCTCGAGGCAGTGAGGTTGACTAATTGCACTGCACCATTTATACCACGAAGGTCGGCTGTGATTGGCGCATTTCGGTCCTCCCAGTACCTAGCGTATGATTCACACTTAGCGCGACCAAAGGACACCGTCGACCTGGCTAAACAAGATGACGTTGTCTACAGGATTCCCTGCGAGTGCAGCAAAGTTTACAATGGAGAAACAGGGAGACCTATGCAGGAGAGTATCAAAGAACACGACAGGGATATACGACTTGCTCGCACCCAGACCTCCGCCGTTTCTGAACAGGCCCACTAGACCGACCGCTATCCGATTTGGAACGAGGTCAAGTTTATTGATCGAGACCCTCACTGGTACACACGTAGGGTTAATAATATGTAGAATTGAAATTCTTGAAGCATGGATGCCCACTCTCAAAATACACAACAACAGGAGAACGGTACAACAGCGGACCGCTGAGGGAATAGCTACTCACCGGAACAATGGAACAATGGGAGGATCGAAATGCACCAATCACAGCTGACCTTCGTAATGTAAATGGTGCTGTGCAATCAGTCGACCTCATTGGCTGAAGAAGACTAGCCGTAGCAGTCGAAACGTCGCGATCTACATCGTTAGTGACTACATCGTGAAAACGATATTGCAGTTTATTATTACTGAAAAGTGCGGAAAATTGCTTTCAGCCTCCTTAAACTGTGTGATATTCATTTGGATGAGAATACAATGATAATTTCATTAAATACTTAAAATCCAAATTAGCAACTTATAAGTTCTTGTTGTTGTCTACAGGGATCATTATCCGCCCATATAAAAAAGAGCGGAGTTCTTCCTGAACGTGAATCACAATGGTACACAAATCAAATGCTGCAAGGAATTAAATTTTTGCATTCACAGAACGTAATTCACCGAGATATAAAAGGTACGTTTCGTAAATTAGGTAATGAGTATAAAGTGTGCTTTTTTTTGGATTAGAAAACAAATTAAGCGTGAATATAGATCATGTCAGTAATTTTATTATGGCAAAACAACTAGATTTTTCTTTTTATAGCTTCGCGACGTTACGAAAACGTTACGAATTTTCTTTAAGAAATGACAAAAGGATGGTATTTAGTTATTGTTGCAATTACATTTAATGAATTTCTCACTCCTACATTAGGCGGCACTGAAGTTTCTACTGGAACGTTTAGTAATCCCTGACAATGCCTTCAACCTTTTCCTATCTGTTCTATTTTCTCCACTGTTCTCTGTCATAACCGAGTATGTGGTTTAATATTGTTGCAACTGAGTAAAAGCTATTCCTGCTCCAAAACCTCTGCATTTGTTACTTTAGGACCAAATGTCTTTTTAGATGGAGAAGGAAATGTAAAACTAGCGGACTTTGGGCTGTCAAAAATGATTCAGGTACTGATAGTGTAATGCATGCAGAAGTTGCTAACAGATACAGTGCGAAATAGCTATCTTCTGCTTTTAAGAGTATTCGTTCTCGATTTCACCTCATGGAATTCGAGAGCTTAAATTAGTCTAATTGTTAATTAGCACCTACCAAACCAGCGGACACTGCTTTTCGTACATTCTGATTGGCCCCTCAAACTCGGAAAAGTGTTTGCTATTGACCTCCCAGCTCGCGAGAGTCGTAAGCAAAATGGTTTCTTGGTTTCCCACCGTAACAGATCTAGAAAGTCGCTTACTGCAATTCGAAAATTTATTCTAAACTTGAACTGTCCTCGAACTTCATTGGGAATAATTTCGTATGACATTTGATAGGTGAATGAACATAATGTTTCATGACAACCTCATTTTGACAGACATGCTTTTTACAAATTGTCAACTTTCCTATCTAATTTATAATGAAAAAAATTAATTTAGTTTCAGTAACTTTAACTTTGTTTGCATACCTTCACCTCTTTTATCGGTTTTGACTATTTTGATAGTAGCTTTCATTGTATAACGCTTTCTAGAGATAATTGAATCCAAGAAGGGGATATCGATCACTGAAGCGTCATTTCTATATGTCACAATATAACGTCATCAATCAATGTTATGGACTCGGACTTTTGAAAGTACTAAATCCTCCATGTTTCATGGATCCTTTACATAAATTGCGTCTATTGTTATAGCTTTAACAGCGAGTTTGACAGGGCAAGAGCCACAAAAGCTCCTCTCCCCACTATCTCGCACTCCGTGTTCAACAAGGTCAAAAAATAGTCGGGTGGGAAAAGGGTTAACAAAATAACCATTTTTTCGTCCAACTTATTCTAGAAAGTTGGCAGTAAAACAAATTTGGCATCTTATTGCGGCACCCCGTACTGGATGGCACCAGAAACATTCTGGGGTGAAGGCTCACTGCGCGAAAAGCCAAATATTCGGGCCCGAATTCGCTGGAATACGGATCGGCGCACGCCGCGTATGCCGCAATGTTCTGACGTATTCGATTACGGCTGACTCGAAATACACCTGGAA